ACAATTTTTGCACATTGATATCAGACCCAAGTACCAGGCTCAGCAATTGTCTCAGAATTACCTTTTTTTTTTTAGTTAGGTTTGGTCTCTGATTTTAGCTAATTATAAATTCCTTTACTTTCAGATTTATTATGGGCTATATTATCAATGTTTCCAAGTTTTGTGGTATATAAAATATTAGTGGAAAATAAATTTTGGGGAGTAGGGAAGGCACAGAATCACAGTAGTTAACCCACTATCACCACCAACTTTTCATGGCCCTTTGCCTGCCAACTAGTGAGGAGCACTGAAACTGGTTCCCATTGGTGCATAGCTTATAGCCAGCTCCATTCTGAGCTGGTGACTATATAAAAACGCTACCACTCCTTCCCACAATATCTGCCTATCTGAATATGTAAAACACGTACAGTTGCAAAACTAAAAAATAACAATAATAATAAGACAAGACATGTAATAAACGGTCCACCTCTCATTCCTGTTCCTCAGGCAACTCAGTTACTCTTTGCAGAATCAGTATCTCCTCACAGTGATATTGTATGCACATTTTAGCATATGTGTATATTTTCTTCCTTTCCAAATAACAATATATTATACATATATTTTGCAACTTGGCTTTTTTTTTTTTTCAAAGATGGGGTTTCACCATGTTGGTCAGGCTGGTCTTGAACTCTGACCTCAGAAGATCTGCCCGCCTTGGCCTCCAAAGTGCTTGGATTACAGGCGTGAACCACCGTGCCTGGCCACAACTTGGCTTTTTAAAGTTAATTCAACTGTATACACCAGCATTTATTTAGTTGTCTATTGATAAGTGTTCTTCCCATTTATTTCAATTGCAAATAATTATTTCACACAAATATTCCTGTACATGGCTTATTTCACAAATATATAACTGTACTAATAGGGCTGGGCATGGTGGCTCACACCTGTAATGCCAGCACTTTGGGAGGCTGAGGTGGGCGGATCACCTGAGGTCAGGAGTCTGAGATAAGCCTGGCCAACATGCTGAAGCCCCATCTCTACTAAAAATAAAAAAAAATTAGCTGGGCATGGTGGCACATGCCTGCAATCCCAGCTACTCAGAAGGCTGAGGCAGGAGAATCACTTGAACCTGGGAGGCAGAAGTTGCAGTGAGCTGAGATTTCACCATTGCACTGCAGCCTGGGAGACAGGAGTGAAATTTCATCTAAAAAAACCAAAATGTGTACTAATAGGATAAGTTCCTAGAAGCAGAATTGCTGAGCTAGAGGATATGAATATGAAAATTTTTAAATTATATTTTTATCCTAATTTTTGATATCACAGATAAATAAATGTAGCATATATGGGATAATATAACACTATAAAGCATAAAGTAGTGTAATGAATAGTCATGGTTTTTACATTTTTATAACAGTTTATTGTTTACATAAGTAGTTCTAGATACTATATTCAGTTTTGCTTATGTTTTTCTTGAAAACATTTGTTTTAGATAATATTGTTAGGCATGCTTTGAATGAAGAGACCACCTAAACAAGCTTTGTGTGAGGAGCCAGGCCGTTTATTCACCCAGATGCAGGTGGGCTGAGTCTTGGATATTTTCAGTGTACAATGGGTTTACTGGGATGTAATACTGTCATAAGTTAAGGATCACCTGTGCTTTATTAAAATGCTAAAACAGTAAATGAGGTAACATTTAATAGTATCTTGTGCAGTTCTTGAAGTTTAAGTACTCACTAAATATTACTTTTCCTTTTTTGTTATTTTCTTACTTGTCATTCATTTATTAATTCATTTGTGCATTAAGTTAACATTTATAAAGTATTTCCCATGCCAGACAGCATGCTGGAGCAGTGCTAAAGATAGAAGTTAATTAAGATACCATCATGACTCTCAAGAGTCCTACTGTTTTCTAAAGATTACAGACAAGCAGACAATACTATTATTGAAGAAACAGGCTCTGAGAGGCTTTTGTAGGAAGTGTAGAGAACAAAAGATGGGCACATAACCCAGGATGGGAGGAAGAGAGTCAGGGAAAGCTTTGCCACAAAGATTCTGCTTACACCATGTGTTCTTATGAATTCATGGTGGTGGGGGTAGAGTTGGAGGAAAAGGCATGCTCAATGGCATGGAGATGGCAGATAGATTGGGGTGTTCAAGGATATGCAGGGAATTCAGGGAATGAGAATTTCCATAGACAGAGACACAGCTACACACATAGATCTGCAGCTCAGGTTGGGGCTGTGGGTATAGAACTGGGTGGAATCAACAGACAAAGATCTTTCCTGAGAAATGTCATCCTGGGCTTCTCCTGGAGCCAGCCTGAGGCCAAGGTTCCTTGTTGCTCCTGATACTGCAGACATTGGTACCAAGATGGTATAGGCTACTGAGAAAGAAGGAAAGGGGGAAAGGGTCTGAGAAGAAAGTGATCGAATTCAAAGCAGCTTTTAGCCATCTTCTCTAAGATCTAAGAAAGCAGTGGGTGCGAACAAAGTTTGAAAAGTGAGAGCAGTTTACTCTGGGTTTGTACAGCTTCCTCTTTCTCTTTTTCCATGCACTTCCCCCATCCCTGCCATCCTGCAGGGCTTTCTGTTTCCTGATCACCCTGAACCTGATCTGACACTGGTCACTGACAATGTTTCAGAATCCCCAAATCCCACTGGACAATGAATGCAGGGCAACCCTTATCTGCTGTGTAGCAGCCAAAGGTCAGAACGTGGGTTTCTAAACACAAAGGAGCAACAGGGACCTGGAGAAAGATTTGAAAGGAAAATAGCAGGGCCAGTGGTTCCCAGTTTATTCCATTAGGCACTCTTCTACTTTATATTTATCCTGCTATGTGTTAAAAAAAGTATGTCAACTCCGCAAAATACATTTAAATAATAATTAATGTTTGCAATTTTATTAGCTTTCTAATAAGAGCTTCATATAGAAGAACATGATTTATAGTAAGCTTTTGCAGTAGAGAAATGAGCCGTTGCATCTCATTACTCTCCATCAATCCAGGACTTCTGTAAATCCAATTCTCAGGAACAGAATCTCCTAGAATAAAATGAGGTCATTTGAGATCTGTCAGTGAGTGAAGGTACAGTAAATGGCCACTGCAAACACAGCAAGCAGAGATGAAAACTTGGCATTTTTATAAGCTTCTTACTTTTAAAATATTTGAAGCACTTAAAAAAATGCTTTTAGGCCAGGCACAGTGGCTCATGTCTGTAATCCCACACTTTGGGAGGCCGAGGCAGGAGGATTGCCTGTCAGGAGTTCGAGACCAGCCTGGCCAGGATGGTGAAACCCTGTCTGTGCTAAAAATACAAAAATCTGCAGACACTTGTAATCCCAGCTATTCGGGAAGTTAAGGCAGGAGAATCACTTGAATGGGGAGGTGGAGCTTGCAGTGAGCTGAGATTATGCCATTGCACTCCAGCCTGGGCAATAGAGTGAGAAAAAAATGCTTTTAAAAATTGGTCCCATGGCAAAGTCCTGAGACTTTGGGACACAGCAGTAGTTAATATGGGTGAGGAGGATCAGAGTGATGGAATAAAGTTCCTGAGGACATGCACACCCTTCTTGTCTTCATCCAAGTCTCAAGAGCGAGGGACAGAGCAGCACCCTTAGGTATGTCTGAGATCACAGTGGTGGGGTGTATCCAGGAGTAAAGGTAGAGAAATAGAGGCACTGTGGTGTGATAGTGGATGTTGATTGTTTTGTGTGTTGAAACAGGGAGTCAGCATTTAATTGTTGGCTTAGGATTGTTCTCAAGTAGTGGATTTGGTGTGCAGGTTCTGGGAAAACACGGGAAGTGTGTTGAGAGCTCAAGACCCAGGAATCCAATGTTTTTGTTTTGGAAAGGGAATTTTACAAGCAAAGTTTTCTTAACCTGGAAGACACTTAGGAATCCTTTCTAATCATCTCATTTTATAGACTGGGAAACCAGCATCTAAGGAGATGAGTAGATTTGCCCGAGGTAAGGTAGCAAGTGGCCCTCCTGGGACTCCAACTCATGTCTCCTTTCAGTCTGAGGTTATTTCTCCTATGTCTTCTTTTTTTTGGGACAGAGTTTCTCTCTTGTTACCCAGGCTGGAGTGCAATGGCGCGATCTCGGCTCACCGCAACCGCCGCCTTCTGGGTTCAGGCAATTCTCCTGCCTCAGCCTCCTGAGTAGCTGGGATTACAGGCACGCGCCACCATGCCCAGCTAATTTTTCGTATTTTTAGTAAGACGGGGTTTCACCATGTTGACCAGGATGGTCTCGATCTCTTGACCTCGTGATCCACCCGCCTCGGCCTCCCAAAGTGCTGGGATTACAGGCTTGAGCCACCGCGCCCGGCCTTCTCCTATGTCTTCTTAAGGCATGTTTTACATCTTCTGCCAGACTAGCCATGTCAGGCTCACAGTCACAGCCCTCCACACAATGCTGACTGTCCTTTCCTGGGTGCCCTTGTTCTTATGACAGTCCCTGAGTAATGAGGTGCTCTTTTTTTTTTTTTTTGAGACGGAGTCTCACTCTGTTGCCCAGGCTGGAGTGCAATGGCACGCTCTGGGCTCACCGCAACCTCCGTCTCCGGAGTTCAAGCAATTCTCCTGCCTCAGCCTCCCAAGTAGCAGGGATTACAGGTGTGAGCCACTGTGCCCGGTTATGAGGTGCGCTTAAAAGCAGCAGGAGAGGGTCAGCAGGCATTATAGGTCTTTAAGCCTGTGAGGGCCCAGGCCACGGGACAGACAGTAACAAGTCAGGAGTGGGAGAGGAGAGGTAGATTGTTAATCAGGGAAAAGTTTTCAATTCAGAAGCACCATCTCATGTTTGGAATGAGGAGTGCAAATAGGTTGCCTGAGGGGAGAAGTATGCAATCAGAAAGCATTCTTTATTAACTCCTGTCCAGCAAGAGTGAAAGAAAATTCATGGGAACCTGCAAGAACAAAGCACACAGCAAAGCTGGACAAACACAGCAATCCAGGTAGGGGATTTCCAACTCATCTGCTAGTATATATAAGCTGGATGCAAATTCCTTTTTCTGTCTCATTTCTGCCTCTTTGACTGCAGAGATGGCTCCCAATGCTTCCAGCCTCTGTGTAAGCTGGGGTTTGATAAAAGGGACGGGGAAAGGAAAAGCACTTCCAAGAGTTTGGGAGAGATCTTAGAAACAGAGGATGGACAGTGCTCAGGGCTCTGGGTGGCTGGGCAGGCATCCTTTAGTGGAAGAGGCTGGCATTGACATGTGTGTATGGGAAAGGTGATTGTCTGAAGAGAAGCTGGTTATCTGGCTTCTGTGTTCTTTTTTCAATCGGACCTTGCACTAGTTACTCTTTGGGATCAACGGTAGGAAAAAATATGAGGGTGAGCTTTGTGTTCCACAGGACTGGTGAGATTTAAAATTGTGGAAACATTTTTTAGGGTCCTTAAACTTAATATTTTCTCTCCCCTCAAAGGAGAGCTTCACAAAACTCATTTATCTGAAGTTGTTAATGATCGAACACATTATTTTATATAAGAAAGTATGCACTATGGAGAGAACCTGCAATGCTTACCACAGATCCTCCAGTGAAGAAATGTCTGCAATATCTAGATTGGGAAACTATTTCTAAATGGAGTATGAGGGAGGTCTTTTCAGGCTTTCAAGCGGCCGTTAGGGGTGAGTTTTCCCATCTTTTAGGATTTTCCAGTTGTTGAAATAAGACTTAGATATAGTCCCTACCTTCTGTGAGTGAAGCCCTAGTCTAATCAAAGGAGCTCACATTCCATATTAGGTAGATATAAAAATATAAGAAATATAAATTAATAAGAAACACTGAACATAGTGTCACTGTAATATGTAAGTTATTATTACAAAGCAGTGGGATATTTGAAAAGAAACTAGCAGTTCAGTGATTACGTGTCCTACTCAGGATTTCCTTCTGAAGTAGTGACAGAGGGTTTCCTATGTCTGTGAGTATCTTATGAGGCTGTCATATTTTGGAAATTCTCTTTGAGAGTTGTTTTGAGACTCTGGTGTACATGTTTTGAAGCTTTGTATTTACTTTTTGACATTTGACAAACTTTATCTGGATAGGAGATACAGATAAATAGGGTGGAAAAATCATTAATTACATTTTGAGGTGGATAAAAGGTATGTTTTTTACATCCATTGAAATGCACGGAAAAACAAAATAAAAAGATGACCAACTAAAAAAATCACACATTTATAATTTTATAAAGGAGACTTTATTTCTTATGAAGGGTTATAGTCTGCAGGGTAGTCATTCTGACAGGCTGGGAAGCTCAGCTTCTGGGTGAAGACCAAAAAAAGCAAGCACTTTGCAGGAGGAAAGCACTTTGCACAGGAATTTATGCTAAAGGAGTTTGCTAAGTATACGTATGTAATAGGTTATAGCAGAGACAATGAATATTCATGAAGGGGGTCCTAATGCATGCATATTGAATAAGCTTGTATATTACATATCACCCATGGTCACTCTGAAGTGGAGCCTTAACATTTAATTGCATTACAATTAGGCCTTATACATGAAAAGGTGAAGCAGGGGCACAATGGCATTCAAATGCACAGCTTCTGTAAACTAGCCAGAAGCAGTCCATGGTCAGTGGTCTCTTAAAAGGAGAAAATTCCTGAAATCAGTCTTTTGTCCAATTAAAACTGTAGTTATGGCTTGTGGAACAGGAGGTCAGTTAGCCTGTGGGTGAGCTGTAATTGTTTTAATATTGTTCCTTTTGTGGCCAGTGCTTGTTTAGCTGCTAGAGAAAAAAGAAAAAAATTTAGGCAGTTAGAACGTAGTTTATTCTTTAAATGTAGGGATGCATGACTTAACTCTTGCTTGTTATAGTCTTAGGTCTTGTTTATAATTTGCTATTTTAGTGACACAAAAAAATCCATCTTATAATCTTTAATGTTGCTGGGTCAGTTGTGTCTAAACTACAAAAGGTAGAAGATATAATGAGTAGTGTCCAACCTGTTCCATCATGACTGAGATGTTTTATTTATTTATTTATCTTGAGACAGTCTCACTCTGTTGCCATCTCTGCTCACTGCAACCTCTCCCTTCAGGTTCAAGTGATTCTCATGCCTCAGCTTCCTGAATAGCTGAGATTACAGGCACTTGCCATCCCACCTGGCTAATTTTTGTATTTTTAGTAGAGATGGGGTTTCACCAAGTTGACCAGGCTGGTCTCAAACTCTTGGCTCAAGTGATCAGCCCACCTCAGCTTCCCAAAGTTCTGGGATTATAGGTGTAAGCCACCACACCCAGCCCAATGACTAAGTTTTCAAAGTTTCTCTAGGGTTCCCCAGAGGAAGAGAGGGTCCCTTCAGTTGGTTGGGGGCTCAGGATTTTATTTTTCATTCTCAAGATTTTAAAAGAAAGGTGTTTATACAGGAATGGGACAAATTTTCTTATTTGTGTTGTGACTTGGTAATTCCAAAAGAGAAGTCCCAAGAAAGAGAGGGGCACTAGTTACTGGACAGGAGCTAGAGGACCAGATAGACAGTGGAAGGGTGGGAGCCACTGTGGTGGGGGGCAGGAGTGTAAAGGGAGGCAGGCATCCTAGGCAACTGTCTTGTGGCTTTCACTTCCCAGGTGCATGTCCTTTCCAAGGAATGGGATTTAATGACCTTTGATGCCAACCCAGATGACAGCATGAAGAAAATCAGTGAACATGTCTGTTCTAAGACCAAGGTTCCTGTGCAGGACCAGGTTCTTCTGATGGGGTCCAAGGTCCTAAAGCCACAGAGAAGACTCTCATCTTATGGCATTGACAAGGAGAAGACCATCCACTTCACTCTGAAAGTGGTGAAGTCCAGTGATGAGGAGGTGCCCTTGACTCTCATGGAGTCAGGTGATGAGGGGCAGCAGCACCAGGTGTGAAGAACAAGCTCAGTGGCATAGGTGAAAGCAATGATCGAGACCAAGACAGGTGTAACCCCTGAGACCCAGATTGTGACTTGCAATGGAAAGAAACTGGAAGATGGGAGAAGATGGAAGATTATGGAATCAGAAAGGGCAATTTACTCTTCCTGACATATTATTCCATTGGAGGGTGACCACCCTGGGGACTGGGTGTTGTTGGGGGCCAAAAAGCCTATTTCTTTTAATCTCTTACTCAATGACCACATCCTTTGATGATTTCCCAAAATTAATGAGAATGAGAGGAGCAGGGTAAGATTTGGGTGGGATGGGTGGGATGAAGAATATTGTCCAACTCTATGTTTCTTTGATTCTAATACAATTAATTAAGTGGCAGGATATTTAAAATGTATTACTGAGAATAGAAAATAATTTTTTTTTTTTTTTTTTGGAGACAGAGTCTCGCTCTGTTGCCAGGCGCCAGGCTGGAGTGCAGTGGCGCATTCTCGGCTCACTGCAACCTCCACCTCCTGCGTTCAAGCAATTCTCCTGCCTCAGCCTCCTGAGTAGCTGCAACTCCAGGAGCATGCCACTACACCCAGCTAATTTTTGTATTTTTAGTAGAGACGGGGTTTCACCATGTTGGCCAGGATGATCTCCATCTCTTGACCTCATGATCCACCCACCTCGGCCTCCCAAAGTGCTGGGATTACAGGCGTGAGCCACTGCACCCAGCCAGAAAATAAATTTTTAAGGCATAACAGAGAGAGCATCCAAAGCCAGCTTGCAATTTAATTCTTTCTTGATACCTTGTTATTTATGGAAAAACTCCTATCTTCTTTCCTTTATGACAAGAGAGTCAGTTTTAGGTTTGGATCCATGTTCTATTGATTTCTGTCTTTGTTAAGACCAGTGCTTTATTTATATCACTCAACAATGTCTGAACCAAATTGAATTTCTATTTATAGAACATAGTGAAATGATTTATTATAAAATGAATTAATTTATCTGACATGATCACAAATCACTAAATACCTTAGAAGTTAAATTAAGCTACTTCCCCTACACTCCCCCCACCCCTTTTCTTTTAAAGCTATTTGGTATGAAATAAAGTCTGGCCTTCTCTTATTCTTTATGTCCCACACCCAACTAAAATAGTTATTATTTCTGGGGATGGTGGTGGGCAAGGATAGGTATTTTCCACAGGGACCTAGTGATTCTGTGTAACTAGTGAGGGTTCCTAGGGGTAGATGGACATTGGGAGGGAACAAACTTTCTGTAGATGGGGGACTGTGGGCCACCATCTCTCCTACCTGTCTTAGGGTCTGTCAGGTCTTCTCCAGGATGAGGGCACCAGTCTGGGTGAGGGTGGGTGAGGAGCTGGCTTCTGGGTTGTCCTCAATATTCTGGTCAGGTTCTGCTCATTGAGCATTTTCTTCTCTGCTTTTTTTTCATTAGAAGATCCCTGTTCCTGTCTTGGGAACTTGAGTCCATTCCTCCATTTATTCCTCTGACTCTCTCTCTTGTTCTTTCATGTCTCACAACTGATCACTTGTTTTTTTCACAGCCTGAGACATGCTTGCCTTCTTCCACACTCATCCTAGTTCCTTGTTTCTTTAAAACTTGCTCAAGAACCAACTCCTGTAGGAGAGTTTCCCATCTCAACCGCACTCAGTAAAATTCACCACCATTTATGGGCTTTCCTTATCACACTTAAGAGTGAAATGCTCCTGGGAGGGCACTGGTCATCTGTCAAGGTCTGACTAGGTTGGACTGATTTCCTAGAAGAGAGTCCATGGCCACTTTTTCTGGGTGTACCCTTTCCTGTGATAGGGATTATAATTTTCTTGTCAACTTGAGACTTCTGATGGCAAACACCAAGGGGTCTTCTATGGTTTTCCATCAGACAAGGAGGAAGTTAAAGGCGAGCATCATGTCCATCATCTTATCTGCACGTGAAGTCATAAGGTTTTCCCTCCCTAAACCTGTATATCTAGAGGATGTAGGGATGGTCCCTCAAGAATCTAAACATTTCCTCATGGGAGGAAAGTATGTTCCCCATTGGACTCCGTAGGACAAATCTTGGAGATTATTATACAAAAATGAACAATCTGAAGACTAAACTGACTCACGATTAGGTATTTTCATCCTTGGGTTCTGGCCTAATACTTTCTCTCCTCCCCAACGCACTCACTGTCCAGCTTGGCCTCTCCCCGGGCTCCCCAGCAGCCTCCTCGCCGCCCCCTTCACTTCCTTATTCCTGAGGGTGTATATGAGCGGGTTGAGGGCAGGTGTGACCACGGTGTAGAAGAGCGATACGAACTTGCCCCGCGCCTGGTCGTAGTGCTGCGCGGGCTGCAGGTAAGTGTAGACGGCCGAGCAGTAGAACAGGCAGACGGCTGTCAGGTGGGACCCACAAGTGCCCACCGCCCTCCTCCGGCTTCCGCTGGACCGCATGCGACAGACAGCTCGGGCCACGGCACCGTAGGAGGCCAGGATGACGGCGGACGGTAGCAGCAGGATAATCACGCAGGCGGCGAACATCTGGCTCTCGGTAGCGTCTCCGTCGCCGCTGCAGGCCAGCTTGAGCAGCGCTGGCAGCTCGCAGATGAAGTGGTCCAGCAGACGGGGCGCGCACAGGGGCCGCTGAGTCAGGAGCGCAGTTTGCGCGACGGAGTTGGTGAGGCCGCCTAGCCAGGAGGCGCCGGCCAGAGCGCGGCAGAGGCCCGGGGAGGCGAGGCCAGCGTAGCACAGCGGGAGGCACACTGCGGCAGCGCGGTCCAGCGCCATCACAGCCAAGAGGACGCACTCGGCGGAACCCAGCGTCAGCGATGCGCACAGCTGGGCAGTGCAGTGGCTGCGCGGGAGCCAGAGCGCGGGTACGCGCAGGTTGGCCAGCAGCGGCGGCACCACACTCGTGGTGAAGCCCGTGTCTACCAGGGCCAGGTGGCAAAGGAAGTAGTACATGGGCGTGTGCAGGCGCGGGTCGCGCACCACCAGCAGCACCAGCGCCGAGTTGCTGGTCAAGGTCAGGAGGTAGCAGAGGAGGACAAGGGCGAAGAGGACCTGCTGCAGGGAGGGCCAGTCGGAGAAACCCAGCAGGAGGAAGCGCTTCTCTGTGCTGTAGTTGACCTAAAGGAGGAAAACTCCCAGAATGTTTGGAAGGTCGAAATAGAAAAGGGTGAGTACCCCTTATAAGCAAAGGAAAAACCTTGGAGTGTGGAAATGGGCTGGGCGAAGGAATGGAAGCCTATGCAAGGTTAGTTTGTGAATTGTAATCCCATTCACAGATGAGATTACTTAAGAATAATCCCCCTAAGAATAAGAGCAACATTCCAAGCTTGGCGTAGCCAACAGTCGGTAGACAGAATGATAGCCTCTGTTGTTTCAGGTACTCTGCTTTTATTTATGCAACTGTTCATGTAAAATGGAGACCAGACCAGAAGAATCCCTGAGCAGATAGATCCAGTTGGGCCTCCTAAGGGACCTTAACCTTGCTTGATTTGCAAGCATGCCTGAAACTTTGTGTTATGTCTTGTAAATGCCTATATAAAAGAAACGGAACTTAAGCTTAACCAATCAGAGGCAGTCAACAAAACATAATTATATAACCAAAGACTTCCTCATGGGATAGACCAAATAAGGCAACTATATAACTACCAATGAAATATTATCTTTGCTTTTATCTGTGTTTTAAAAATCCTCCTCCTCATGTTCTCTCTGTGGAGCTCCCTACCCACTTCTGACTTCGAGCTGCCCAATTCATGAATCACTGCTGAAATAAACAAATATTTTATTGGTCTTTAGTTTACTTTCTAACACAACCCATTATACTGCTGATTACTGATTTTTAATTTGTTGTGAATAGAGAATACTCCCAATGTCCATGCCCCTCCCACTGAGGAGAGATCAGCACATGCATACTAGCCTTTAAATCAGGAGTCAGTTGGGTAGGAAAAAGAACACTTTCTGGTAAACCAGAAGTCAGGAGATCCTGGTTTTACCTAGCATAGCTCCCATTAGCCAGTTACCTGATATGGGGAAGTCTTCATTTCCCTCTGTCCCAATTTTTTCATGTGTAAACCAAGGATATTGAATTAGGTGACATCTAAGTTTCCTGTCCCATCTCCCTGGTTTTACTATCAAATATTGATCAAAAAATGAAATAAAAAGAGAACCCAGAAAACAAAGGAACCTCATTCTCCAAAGGGTCTTGTTGAATCAAGTGTCTTAATGGTACAGAAACATATGGTTTATGTGATGGATAAGAGTCTTTCTACTGCACGACTCCTGACATAAATTATTGTATAGATAACTTATTTTACATATCATATTCACTGCTGTTAATTAAAAAATTACAATAATCTAATTTTTCATTTTTTCAGGGAAAAAAACACTGTTACCTACCAAAACATCCTGTTTGATTGTATTTCTCTCATTTTATCCTCACTGGGCAGAACCAGCATTAATGTTGTGATTAAGAACCAGGGCTCAGCAGCAAGACTGCCTGGGTTCGAGTCCTAGCTCTGCCATTTTCTTTTTCTTTTCTTCATTTTTTTTTTTTTTTTTTTGTTTTGAGACCGAGTCTCTCTCTGTCACCAGGCTGGAGTGGCGCAGTCTTGGCTTTCTGTAACTTCTGTCTCTTGGGTTCAAGCAATTCTCCTGCATCAGCGTCCTGAGTAGCTGGGACTACAGGTGTGCACTAAAACATCCAGCTAATTTTTGCATTTTTAGTAGAGACGGGGTTTCACCATATTGGTCAGGGTGGTCTCTATATTTTAACCTCATGATATGCCCATGTCAGCCTCCCACAGTGCTGGAATTAGGTGTGAGCCACTGTGTGCAGCCTGAATCTGCTATTTTCTAGCTGAGCAATCTTGGGCATGTGTTTGGCCTCTCTCTGCCTCAGTTTCCTCATATGAAAATAGAACTATGTTAAGTGGGCTAAATATGAAAAGCCGTTAGAACAGTGCCTGGCACAAAGCAGGCATTAACTATTGTCATCCCTTAATAGACGCTAACTATTGTCACATCTGTTTCCCAAACCAAGAAACAGGTTTCTAAGGGGATCTTATGCTAGGCAGTGACGTAATTGCTATGAACATTTACTTCCCTTTTCATTTATTAACTCTAATCTTTACTCACTTGAAAATTAGGCAATAGTCTTATTTCATAGAGTATGTTAGGAGAGTAACTGAAGTTAAATTACTTGCCCAAGGCCAGATCATTTGCAAATGCTTAATAAGTTTCCACTTGTATTTGACTAACTTCGAGGGCCTTACCTGTTTGATCAACCAGGCTCCACTTTGCTAGATACTGTGGAGTATAAAAGAATATGCAAAGTCAGACCTATATTTATAGATAATTTTATAATTTGGGGTCATATCGGAGATGAGTAAAGTAGAAGAGGTGACATTCAGGCTTACAGACCAATGGCAGCTAGAGGCTAGAGATGTTGAGTTACAAAAAGTCAAATTCTTTAGTGCTGTGATTACATGATCACACAACAGTTTAGCCAGGCAAGCTCTAAACCATTCCTCTTCAAATATGTCACACCATGAAAAGAGGCACACAATAATGAAACTACATAGATAACATTCTTGTTACACGTGTGCACAAATTCTCCAATACATAAGCATATGTGCACCTGTACACATAAACTCATCATTGCCGTCACACGTCTGGAAGACAAATCTGTTGTGAAATAGATAATGTGTCATCAAACTTCACTTGGTATTTCAGAATGCGCCTCTCAGTATAAGACCATTTAATTTTTTGTAGGACACTCTAATATCCAACTTACCTTCATGTGTACTCTTTGCACTGATGTTTACACCTTAAGTTTCCAGATGACAGGTTGGTCTCTTGCTCCTGCTCTGGGTTCTCTGGATTTGAAATGGCAGTTGGGAGGATTTAATAAAAGATGCAATTGTGTGCCTGTGTTAATTTCTGGAATGAGTGCCTGAGATCAAAGCCAGGATTCTCAGGACAAAGACAGGGGGTGGATGTCATTGTGTTTGTCAATAGAGGAATAAAAAGAATGGATAAGAAAGAACTTAAGTTTGTGAAATTTTGAGATCTAGGCAGAGATGGTGATGTCTGTTCCTGGAGAACCTTGTGATGGGGTATATACAAGACAAAGCTTTGTACTGGTAGCAAATCAGCATTAGCTGGTGTTGGTAGCAAATATCCTTCCTGGATCTAAAGGATACAGCAGTTAGAGAGAAGGAGGAAGCATGCTGATGAGTGCTCTCACTAGAGAAGAAACAAGGCAATCAGCGTTCCCTGTTATTTAGAAGAAGGGATGGAGCTCTGAGGAATTGATGTCCCACTCCCATCATTAGTACTTTGCATGAAGGTGTCTGGAGAGGAGTCCCCAAGAGTGGGAAAGAGGAAATTCTGGAGGGAAAGTCCCTTTAGGGTAGTGTGTCTCTGGTAGTGTATGAAGGCCAGAGGCAGCATAATTCCCTCTCATATCATTTTTACTGTTAAATTGGAACTGGTTTAGAATTTCATTCTCTGATGGAGTGATGAAGTTAGCTAACTGCTTAACTTCAGTGATTCTCAATGTCATCATCTGTAAAACAAGGAAAATAACCTTTTTTTGTCAGAATTTTGTCGATTTGTTGAAGTCATTTTCAGTTTTGAATGTGGCTTTCACTGTTATGTCATCAGCTTTGCGCCAAAGCCTGCCTTCCTGCTTGTGACTGTCATCATTCTCTTTCCCTTCACTCTTCCTTTGTCCTTGCAGATCTTTGTCCCTGATCCCATCTCACTCTCTCCAGTCCTAACAACTGTGATAATTCTTGGTGAATTCAGTATCCACATAGATTATCCTTCCACAATCTCTCCTTTCAGTTCCTTTCTCAGTGAGAGGTCTGCAAATTCATCATGGCCCCTTGCACCTCTTGAATCTTCACTTCTCTACCAAGCTTAGACTGTCTGGTCAATCATTATAATTACTCCTTTGCATACTCTCAATGTTCCTGACCTTTTCACTTGTTAGACTCTTTCTCTAAACTGCTCTCCCATTTAAATCCAACTATAATTCTGCTCTCTCACTATATTTGTTCAGCTGACTGTGGCTGAAGAAAAGCCTATAGCCACACTGAGAGGCTTCACTTTACATTCCTGACTACTACTATTAGGGGAAGGGGCTAATGCCATGGACAATCATATTTCCCTAGTCCGCTCACTTTCTCCTCTCCTACATAACTCATGCACACTTTCTGGTCTCTCCTCAAATCTCCAGTTCTCTTCCTCTCTCTCAAGTAATATCTTTCTCAGATAAAAAATTTACTTCATTTTTTACTGAAAAAATGTAAAGCAATCAAAAGAGAAGCTGTTATCAACCCATCTGTTCACCTACTTGAGTCTGTGCTCACATATAGGACTGCCTTTTTTTCTGATACCGCCAGGAATAGAGACTGTTTTGCATCTGTCTGATGTCAGTATCTCCACTTGCCCACCATATTTCATCCTTTCCACTTATTCAGGGATATTACGCCAGTCTTTCCCCCCTCTTTCGTGTAACATCATTTGCCCATCCAGTGGGCCATCCCCATCAATACATAAACATACTTGGACTTCCCTCATTAAAAAATTATCTCTTGCTTTCACCTCCCCCTAGCTACCATCCAAGTACTTACTTTTGCACCACTTCTCTACTCCCATTCTCTTTTGAGTTGGCTCCAACAAGGCTTCTGCACTGGAAATCTTTCATCAAAGGTCACAAACCAACCTCCACATTGATATAGTAGTTTTCAGTCCTCATACTACTTAACTAATTAGAAGCATATCTATAGAGTGCACTTAGGTTTCCTTTTTGGAACTTGCCTTTCACTTGACTTCCGCTATGGACTGAATTATGTTTGCCTCAAAATTCATATGTTGAAGATCTAATCTTCAATGTGATAGTATTTGAAATGGGCATTTTAGGAGGTAATTATAGTTAAATGAGGTCACAAAGGTGAGGGCCTAATAGGGTTAGTTTCCTTATAAAAGAGGAGGAAAAGGGCTAGGCACAGTGGCTCATGCCAGTAATCTCAGCACTTTGGGAGGCTGAGGTGGGAAAATCATGAGGTCAGGAGTTCAAGACCAGCCTGACCAACATAGTGAAATGCTG